ATATGATCCAAGAAAGAATCACACCTCCTTGAACCATCATCAAACACCACTTCATTGTTGAAACTCACCTTCTTCTAGGTCTTATTAATTTCCTTTCCATCTACCAAGATCTCTTTAGGCTTCCACACCATCTTCCTCATGGTCTTGTTAAGCCCTTTCTCAAGATGTTGCTCAAGCACATAGATGTTGTGCTTGTTCTTCCTTCCATGCAGAACAAGTCTTCCACCTTTACAGAACTTGCACCATTCTCGCTTTCCAACATACTTGGACCCTCATGTTGTCAACTCACTCAAAGCAATAATATTGCTTGAACACTTGGGCACATATCTCACATTCTTGAGAATCTTAGCTCTCCCATTGTGAACATTAAGATGAATATCTCCTATGCCTTTAATATTGAACTTATCGTTGCTAGCCATCGTTATTTTGCCAAGCTCTCTCAAAACCGAACTCACAATTTGAAAGAATTATTGCACACATGCATTGATGCAATGGAGTCCAAAATCCACCTTTAATTGTTTTTCATTGTTTTTCACTACCTCAAGATCACACTCTTCACAAACTAATTATTTAATCACATTTTCTTCAACAACATTAGCCTCCCCCTTGCCCTTGGTTTCTTGGTTTTTCATCAATATTTCATACTAGAAAAATCCTCCTTAAACTTTAGGCATTTAAAATGTTTGTGACCTAACTCACCACAATAGAAACACTCCACCTCACTATAATCCTTCCTAGGTCTAGATTTCGACCTTTCTTGATTTCCTTCATCTTCACGTCCATAAGATCTACCCTGAGATTGCTCCATCACCAAAGCATTATTTTGATTGGCACCATCATCCTCCCCAAGAAACTTATCATTCTCCAACAACATGGTTGTGACATCTTTCACCACCGAAGTAGTCTTAGTCATTAGCATACTTTGCACTAGGGATTTGTAAGACTTAGGATGCAAGTAAAAGCAAAGCTTTCTCTTCTTCTAGAACATCCATGACATTCACTACTTGCGTCACCTTTATGTTGAAATCTAATAAGTGCTTGTGAATATTAGCACCACCTGTCATCTTCAATTGATACAACTCCATCTTTAAATATGGTCGATTGGTTAAAGATTTGGAAGCACATATCTCTTCAAGCTTCTTCCACATGCCTATTGAAGTAGTCTTTGAAAGGACATTGTATTTCACTTCCAGTGTAAGCGCCAGTTGAATTTGACTTGCTGCCTTCTTCTAGATAATACTCCAATCACTATTCTTCACCACAGTAGGCTTGGTCTCTTCTAGGGCTGCATCAAGTCCATGACAAATAAGGACATCCTTTACAGTGCTTTGCCATAGAGCAAAGCCATTCTTGCCATCAAATAGTTCAATTGACTACTTCATTGCATTAGTTTGCATTTCACCACAATACCAAGAGCTCTACCAATAGCTTTGATACCAATAGCTTTGATACCACTTGTTGAGAATTTTGAGCACCACAGTCCCATGCAAACGGAAGTGAAAGAAATTGAGATAACAATTTAATGTGATTTGACTTGTATACCTCTCAACAAGTTTATGTCCATGAGAAAGAGAAAAAAAATGATCCCACTATTAAGAAAAAGAGTACAATAATTTAGAAACTCTCTCTCAAGAATCTCTCAACACCTTGGCTTCAATATATAGAAACTCCCAAAATTTCCCTAATGCTCTCTCTTAATCTTCACAAGGATTATCTCACAATTTCTCTCTTTCTTTTCTCTCACAAGAGCACTCACTCACTTGGCTCTTCTCAATTTCTTCTTGCTTGCTCCTTCTGCCTTGCACCAAGCTCCATTTATAGAGCTCATCAACTCGCTTGAGCAAATGTGAACAAGTCGAACAAGACTCCTTTAGGGTGGTGCCCTATCTAGAAATAGGCAAGAGGAATTCTTCTTGCAATCAAACCTTTTGTCAACATTGCAATAAATGCCATGAGTAAATTTCAACAATTACAACATGATACTAAATGCCATGGAAGGTGAAAGAAAGAAAGAAAGAAAGCTCCCCATTTTCAACATTTTACACCACCTTTCAATGGGGTTGGAACATTTTGTCAACACAGACTTGTTCAACACAATTTTTGATATTCGTTTGATTTAGGTATTAAAAATATAATATAACTATAATTGATTTAGTTAGTTCATGCATTTTGTGTGTGTGGTTACACGTTTAAATTTGTCTGTCTTTAATTTTAAATAAGAATAATAATTTTTTAATACATCTGTTATACTATGTGTTAAATGAAAATAGTGTACCAAATCAATTTACTAAAATTCCAATGGCTTTAGCCAACAATCTAAGTAGCTCAGTGGTCATCTCCTTTCGTCGAAAATAAGAGATCATGAGTTCGAGTCGCATGACATGCGAGTGGAGTGAGATAAGGGATGAAAGATGGTTGCCTCCAATTGTGCAACCAAGATAAAAAAAAAAATCAAAAAAAAAAAAATCAAAAAAAAACAAACAATCAAACTCCAATGGCTTTAATGTTGAAGATTATTCGAGAATCAACCCCTCCCCTAATTCCCAATGTGCTGAGTTAGCTTAGATTTGATTCCAAAAAGATTTGCTTATTCGATGGAATTGTTTAAAGCCTGATTCTTTATGGTTGTCTTGAAGTGTCTTATAGTTTTCTTTTCACTAAGCTTAAGGGTCAACCAAATATTGGCTCTCTGTCTAGTTAGAGACGTTCTGTTTATTTTGTTTTTGTCTGTGAGTGCGTGTTTGTTTGCTATATTGTGAAAACCCCTGCGCTATGAACTGATTTTGGTGTCCCAAAGGTGATTCTGCTGTCTTCTGACTGTGTATATAAAGAGTCCTTGTTGTTGACTTTTCTTCAATTTGAGTGTTAACCTTTAGTTCCTACTGCCTTTTCTAGATATCTGGATCACTAGTGCTCTGCGATTATGTGTGGTTCTTTAATATGATTTAGTTGTTCAGAAGTATGTTTATATAATGTTTGGGTTTGTCTATGGTCCCTGATATTTGATTTTTGCCTTTATGTTAGTGCTTAAAAGGTTTGAAAGTTAGGTGTCTAACATGTCCAAAAAAGATGCTTTTACTTCATTAAGATGGCAAGTACATGTCGTTGTTTCATTACATCTGATTACTTTCTCTGGTTCAGATAGGGACTTTGTGGGATACTGTATATAATTCTCCTCCATGTCTGAATTCTGATCTGCGACTTGGAAGCCTTGGATGTCTTCTGTTTCTTTAAACTCAATTTTTATTTCGGGAGGTTTGTTGGTTATATCCTATTTAAATTTCACCAATGTTTTACTTTACTGGTGTCTTGTATGTATTTCCGAGCTCTTTCCTTAATGCGTGGTTGGTTTGTTATATAATTTGTTTCCCTTACAAGAGTTAGAAATTCTCACAGATTCCACAGGTTTTCAGGTCCTGTAACACAAGTCAAGTTTTGCTTATCACTCTTAACGGATGACCTAAAAACATAACATAAAAAATAAAAATTGTTCCTTCTTCTTGTGATAACCTATCACAAAGGAGGTGTTAACACCCTTGAGAAGATGTCAACATCTAATACCGTTAGACAGATTTCACGTTAGGCAAATACTTAAGAGATCTTGGATTTATAAGTGCAAATCCACTACTACCCTAATGAATCTTTTTAAAATGAAAAATGATTGGTATATTTTTTGGTTCAAC